AAACATAACTCATTATATGATAACGAAATGTACGTACATATCCTCTTATATATTCTAATGGATTCTTAGATATATAAAAAATCATGATATACCAAAGTTTTTTAAACTCATACATCCAGGTTCCAACACACCCCCCACAAAAATAAAAAAAATATACACACATACATACCTCAAATTATATATATAAATATATCTACCTACAATGTCCCACCCATATATACATGAGATAAAAAAAATAACTTTCTATATATAAAAATTAACATATAATTAACCTTCAAACAAAACACACACCAATATTACAAATATATAAACACATTCTTCAAACAGAAATATACTTAAATTCATTTCATATATATATATAACGAATCACACATATAAAACGAAGAGTAATTATAACAATTGCTACACACAAATTATATATATATATATATATATATTTACAAATATTACAAATAAACCTATATATAAAATATATAATGCAAATATATATAAAAATATTGACAATGTTCTTCATATATTGACATTAGGCACACACACACACACTATATACAGTAAATCAAAAGCATAATATATATATATATATATAAAACCCATATATGCATATATTACATACAACATGTAAAAAAAAAATAAATACATACACCAATGCATTATCTGCTGATAACAATAAATATATACGATTAAATAATATATTAAAAAATACACAATATGTTCTAACCATTATGCAATAAAATACTAATCTATTAAAAATACAGCGACATATCATTATCATTTAAAGTATACGACCCCTACACTAAGTTAAATTTATAACACAATTTATGTAGTTCAATCCCACCAAAATCAGCCTTGTTTTAAACTAATAATTTCAAATTTTTATTATATATATATATATATATAACCAAATCCATTTATAGGTGTTTTGTTATATATATATTTACGTTGAGGTTCATTCCTGCATGATTAAAAGGATTGCATATGCCCCCGCCAGCGTTCCTTGAATGTTTTCATAGTAGAACACTAAAAGTTTTATTTGCTGTTTGTGGAGAAGATAACAATAATCCCACAGTTATTTTGTAGTGGACTTGAATTATTTAAAGTTGTATTGATCATGGTTAAAACATCTTTAGACTTGAATTGTTTAAAAGGATAGTCGATTCGACATAGAAGCAGTTCACAGGAAGAAACATCTAGAGTGGAACTTACTTCATATGAATAGAATATAGAGGAAATGAGGGTGACAAAATGATCGATGTCACAGCTTAACGCTGCTTATACAAAATGATAAATCGGGATGTGACAGAAAGAGAGCGAGGCAGAGAGTGGGAGAGAGAAATCCATGCACGAACTCATAGACATATACATAAAAAAAAGTTTTAAAAGGGTTAGAAATGTTATTTTACAATTACATTATTGTGCATTTAATTTAATTAATTAATTTAATTACACTATTGTGCATCTAACAATCCTGATTAAATAAAGACTTTTTACTCATGTTTCGAGTTTCCGCAATGATAATTGGCAATGCCTATTTGTAAGACAGATTTTAATTAGTTGCTAAAATAATTCTTAGACCTTCAAATATAGATAGAGTAAATTTAGGTAACAATTATGATGAGCCAAAACAAGTTCGTCGCTAGGATGTTTCGGTAGGAGAAAGGCCATTGAGTTGGTGGATAGCTTCGAGTAGTAACTAAAACACTGCTATTATTATTTTGCTACATTAGTTTCACATGAGGGGATCAGGATTTTTTATGCCGACACAACACGGATCGTCGTCAAATACAGCATTTGCTACTATTATAATAAAATATATTTAAATGATAAATAATAGAAAGCAATCAATATATAATTAAAAATATATAATAGAAAATAATCGACAACTATATATATGAAACACCATTTAAATTTACTTTTCGACTTAAAACAGTTTAAACAAAACAAATCTTAAATACACAAAACGAAAGAAACGTTAGAATTCAAAATGAGAGATGACATCATCATCATCAACATCATCAACATTATCATCATCATCAAAACTGTTTCGATTTGTAGCCAGGAATTAACATGTTCTCTCATCTTCAGTGACATTGTATACTGATTCGACAATATTTTGCCAGCCTCGTCTGTCGTCTGCTAGTTTGCGGATGTGTTGCAGTATTTCCTTGATCATAAACGTCTCAAAAGGAAAAATGAGATCTGCCTTGTTTATTGAATATCTCAGTTCAGCGTTGTGACTATGGTGGTTCTTGGATGACCTCTGAAATTTTTGAAGTCAGTCTTTTCAAAGTAAAACTCCATAGCTTTGTTCGCTGGTCATTCTAGATTCATTGGCAAAATATGTCCAAGAAGTTTCCATCTTGCTTTCAAAATGACCAAAGACAAATTAGATTCTTGATATGAGGATAATTTTCCCTATCAGAATTCTCAGATGTTGCCTCTAGAAACTACCTAGCTCCTGCTCTTCTTCCAAGTGTTCAATAACATTTTCCGAATATTGTTTTTTCTCAGTATGCAACGTCTTAAATAAGTAGTTACTGCTACGCAGTAACTGGAGCAGCCATTACCTATTTCGCCAATTCCAGAGATGTGCGTTCCCTAAATAGATAAATTGCATACATTAGTTATAGGAATGGTTTTCCTGATGGAAAAAGGTATACAGTGTCGATTCATTCCGAGAGGCACATTTTTTTAAGAAGTCCTTCTTACTCTAGGCCGGTTGTTACAGATTTCATTGTTTAAAAAAAACAAAATAAAAGGTATAGTAACTCAAAATTAGTCTCACTAAAAATAACATTTAAATTTCTTAAGAAATGATTCAAATAGATCGTTTTAGTTTTGAAGGCATTAAATTTAAGAATCCATAATTTGCCCCAGTTAACAACAGACTGTAGGTCGTGTTGGATATCATTTGTCATTTT